CAGATTGGCTTTGACCTTTGAACTATGCTTTCTAAAACCAGAAATTAGGTTCCCATGTAACATAATGTAAATACGACTATTTCTAGTTCACGTGTTGTGGCTGAAACGCGGCGAAGTATATTAGCGAGTGTTTTGCTGTACCTGTACAAGTACGAACTAAGCCGTGAGTAGAGTGGGTAGAGTGGTCTCTTCGAATAATTTACATCAAGTCTGATTAACTGAAGTAAATGTCACATGTTTGGGGTATGTATTTTCAACGCCATGGTCGACACAACGCGTCGGGTTCGATATGGGGACCCCGCTCAGCGGCTCTAGACGTACCCAACACATCTGTAATTCTTTTCAGCTGATATCGCGAACGGGCTGCGCGACGGCACTTGAAGAAGTAGAGTGACGATCTCGCATTCGGTCGCGTCTATCCTTTGATTCAGCTAATTTCTAGCACCGCCAAATCTTTTGTGCTAATTTCCATCTACCAATACTGAACAAAAATTGAAGATGAAACTTCTATAAATTATTCAAATGTTGACTGCGCAAAATATGTATATTTTGATCTGAGTCGCAGAAGTTCTTTAGTAAAGATCTCCCATAACTCTAGTGTAATCGGACAAGAGATGATCGATGCATATTTCAACTCGGCGATTTCCAGATTTCCCAAATCGCTTTACATGTTGTGCTGTTATGACACTTCGGAATAACACGGTATACTAAAACACATATACTCCGAGAATTACGAGCACTTCAAGTAAAGATGAGTTTGTTATTGTTCTGCAATAATTAATATCCCCAGCGCCCACCTGTACTGCGCAGGTCAGCTGAGGTGATAACCTCAACCCCCTTATGAGGAGGGCCAGCGAACGAAATGGACACTAATCAGCCTGTACGCCACGCAGCTACGTCGCAAACACTACTTCTCGCATCAAACAGATTTCTCTAAGCATGTATTTTAAAACTGGGTTTCGTAGTGACTAAACTGGCGATTCCTTGCAAACGGTTCAACTGTTGTTTGTTGTTCGCTCACAAACTTTAAGATACGTGTTCCGAGGCCGGTATTCCACTCACGCCGGCGGAATTCAAACGAGGCATTTGCTGGGAGAGTTAAGTACCGTGTTTTGCCGATACCCCTCAATCGATCTCATTTAATTGGTCTTTAATCGTCTAATCAACAGGGAATAATCTAGATGAACTATGTAAATGAGCTCACAACCTAGCAACATGTACTGACACAGAAATATCATAAACCGTGTTGTCTGCTCACAATAACTTCAAGTTACGACATTTCACCAACAGTCCCAGTCCACTGAAACATTGATTTGCGACAAACTTGGGTTAGTACGGTTGTACATCCAGCTATTTCTGTTTAATTAACTTTTTAAATGATTTTTTTTTAAACAACAATTTTAAAAGTTTGTGTAAACCAACATTGCAAAAAGACAACCAATAAACTAAGACATCGCAGTGCTTTCACCCACACTTCTCGGATTCTTTCAGGTGAACGACGGACACAAGAGAGAATTAACGAAATGATTGTTTTATCGAAGTTGAACTGGTAAACCAACACGTTGTCGTTTCCCCCACCTGTGTAAAAACATCGACTGTTGTCACCACCATTAGAACTGTTTTCAATAAGTTCTTGAAATCCACCAAATTTTAATTCAATTTCGTCATGATGACGTAGCAATCATGTCTATTACAATCGCGGCAATTGTGTCTAATGTCAGACCGTCTTTTGAACCAATCGAAGTCACATAACTCTCCGAATATGACGTAATTTGTTAACGCACTCAACAATCGTCTGCAATGAAATCCGGGACAGCTGTTTGAAATGACGACGCACCCCGGATGTAACCTGTATTAGTGCGTCTTCTAATTTGTTGGTCCCAATCACGGCGAAGCTCACCGAACACTCTCTGAACTGTATTATCAAGTTGTAGCGACTCATTCTCCGCTCAGGCAGTGGACTTGCTTTTTTTTCGGCAAGCTAGAATGGTATCTCTGTTATCGGACGAAGTTGTGGTGTCCAATCAACGCGTACCGAGGCCCAGCAAAAGATGTGTTGTTTCTGGTGGTCTGGCATGCCGCCAAAGCTATGGCGGGAATTC